TTGAGGAGTTTAAGCGCTAAAAGGGTTGCTTCTTTTAATGGCAAGCAGAAACAAAAAGCCAGAAAGGTTAGATTTTTTCCTTTGGAGATTGAGTAATGCTAACAGCGCATGGGCGAGCTCCGGTCGTTGATGCTACGGTCAACTCACCCACAACTTCCAGTCAAACTGAACCTAGCTAGAAAGCTCCATTTCATTAATTCTGACCACACCCCAGTTGTATCCAGTCGATTGATAAAGACAATTATTATTAATGTTTCTGTGCATGCGAAAGAATGGCATAGCTAAATTGGCTCCGAATGGAGCCAAGTACGAATTTAGCGAACCAAAAATATCTCACATCGAAAATTTGATAAAGTCCAACATATATATATATATATATATATAATGTGCTCCTAGGTGGTAAGATGCTAGGTGTGATTAATAGTGGACACTATGATAAAAGTGTTCTGTGATAAAATGAAATAAAGATAAACCAATTTGAAAAGAGGATTTTAACGAAAAGCTTCCAGTACTGTTCACTTTAACAAAAAACCACATTTTTACACTATAAAGTCAATCCTGGTACTATTCATTTTACCTTTTATTTTATCTTTATTGTTAAAACTCAAAGTTTTCAAATCATTTTCATTAGTTTTCCTATTTGAAAAGTCCTAGGATTTTTTATTTGGCATGCAAAGAATCACAGGTCAACATCTTTTCTCCTGTATGAATCCCAGCAGCCCAAACCTAGACAAAAAATCTTACCTGCTGATCCCATTCTATGCTGAAGTTCGATTACCACAAACCTCTCATTCTTCAGCACTAATTGATGTCAATGTCTGTTAACGATCAAGTTCCCACCATAGCACGTCACACAATTGATAGAATTAATTAGCTAACTAGACTAGTATAATTTCTCTTCAAGTACCTAGCAAATTCGCAATCGTAACCAATAATTTTGACTACCTACACGTCAAAGCACTCAAAATATATTAAAGAGTTTAACTTTAGCGAGATTATATGCTACTACATGTCACATCTTTAAAGAATTTTCTTCTTCGGTATTGGGTGATGGGGACTTTGCATGTGATCTAATATCCTAGTGGATAGGATGTTAGGTTTTCACCCATGCGTTTTAGGTTCGAAACTGCCACTCTCATAAGTTGTTGTAACAGTTTTGAACCTCCCCTCCCCTTAATAATAAGGGAAAACTAACGAAAAGTCTAAAAAAACCTCTATTTTAATGAAAAACCCTTTTTAAAGGTATAGTGAATAGTACCAGGAAAAAGTATAAATGTGATTTTTCGTTAAAAATGAACAGTACTGGGAGTGTTTTGTTAAACCTCCCTAATAATAATAAAAAATAATAAAAAACTAGGTGATGGGTCTCCACTATTATAACTCCTCTTCAATAAAAATGCTCGTTGTTTTGGTGAAGGAGCTGCTTCTGCATTACCTAGCTTGGAAAAAAAAACTGCGGACATGCGTTGTTGGCCTGTCAGTGGCATACTTTTGCACACATAAGCTGAGCAATTTGGATGCATCTCAGAGCTTGGTTGGTATGGTACGATTCACCCTAGTTGATAAATACGTTTATATTTGTTACTTCAAAGTGTTAAATCCCCTAATTATCTTCACCACCACTCATCATGCTCTTGGTTGTAAGAAATTTTCTTTGAATACGATGTACAACCCTAAGTCATTAGCGCACTTCAGTCATGGTTATTGGTAACTCGTTTAGTGAACAAATTTCTCCTTGCGATGTTGCTGAGTTTGGATTTCTGGATTGTAATATTGTTGAACTACCAAGCCTACATGGCGTGCAGGCTGAGTAATTAATAAGCTAACTACATCCTTCAGTTGTGTGCGAGGTGTGCCAACTCGTCGGCTGAGCTTGACCGGGGAGTAAAATATGTTGTGTGCGTTGGACTCGCTGCTGACTTCTTGATCTCGCGACTGCGGCCAAGGAAGGAACACATCTCAGCCTTTGAGTTCTAGAGTCTGAAGATAAGGCGGCTAGTTTTGCGAAGCTCAATATCAAATTCGGCTTTTAATGTGCCGAATGTAGTAACCTGGTAACATTTTACTTCGCCGAGAAGGCTGATGATATGACCTCTACCAACAAGGACTCGAAAATCCTTGTCGACCGAGACTTGGATAGGTAATCAATCGGCTGAAAAGCAATGCTGTTTATCGAAACTGAAGGTGCTCTTTGATTGACTGATTCTACGGCTCCAGTGTTGATTATCCAAACTGAAGATATCGCTGGTTGACTTCACAGTGTTGTTTATCCAAACTGAAGATGTGTCGGCGAGAAAAAGAATATAAAAATCTCAAGGTTGTTGAGAGGTTTCGCGTAGAGCAAGAATTTGCACAGGGTAGTTTGTGTGTTGAATTGGAGGGGGCTTTCAATGTTGCATACGACTCTGTATTTATAGTGGCTGTCTTTTGCTTGACACGGCCTGATAACTTTGTAGAGTCCAATTGCAACTCTAACTCGCAGAACTGAAATTGATCCGTGTCAAATGCCAAGGCATATCCTTCAGATTTCGTGACTTTTCAAACAAAATAAAGCCTATCTAGGCTCTATCACATCAGAAACCTAGCCCACCTAGGCTTCTTATCTCATCAAAAACCTCTATCAGGAACCTTTAAACTCATCTGATAACTTCCATCACCATGCAGAAAGGCCTAGCCTACCTAGGTTTCTTATCTCATCATTATCCAAGACTATCAAATCCTAGGCTTATCACATCATCATAATTCCATCACCTTTAAACCCATCCATGCATACATCCTGATCAAATGAATTTCAAATTCATTTTTAGCTTCCAAGTGCCGTCAGACATCCCAAATCAATTCAAACTGTACTGCTTGCTTGGGATATAATTCGCATCCTATTTATCTGGATTAAGAAGATGCAGATAATTCATATTAAAAAATAATTATTAAGATAAAAACCATAATATTATCCTTTAACAATAAGAAAATTATCTTCACTTTTTCATCCAATGGTTGAGAGTTATGTTTACTCAACGACCTTAATTGCACGGACCGATGGTGTAAATTTGGGTCCAAACAAATATAAATGCCGGTTTCTGGGGAGAGGGAAGAGTTGTTTCATTACTCAACATGAAAATAACTTCCTACATGGTTGGCCTATCCGATGCACTTTCTTGCATGCAAAGTAGCCCGATCTGAATGCATCTTGAAACCTCGTGTGCAGGATATGATCATATGGCTGAACCAAAGATGGATCAACTATGCCTAATGCTTGCTCCTCCATCCACATATTCCAAATCTGATGCAATTAGGATCATGCTAGCGCGCACATTCAAAAATAAAATTTGGTAAATCATTCCATACATATTTTAGAAGTTTAATGAATTGCCTACTTGTCCAATCAAATTAAGGGACGAACTCAATATCACAATTATTGTTTCTTTTACCGCTAACGATCTCTAGCAGTATGACACCAAAGCTAAAAACATCCAATTTTGTTGAATATCGCCTTTCCGTTGCATATTCTGATGACATGTATCCACTGCAGTTACACAACATTATATAAAATATTGAGCATGTTAATTGTTTGCTAATCGATGTATGTTTCTAGCTGTATAACTCTGCGAAATACTGAAACACTTACTATATATTCTGACCGCTCTCATGAGTTAGGTTAACGGATTTGATCTAAAATGCCAAGCCTACGCCACACGGGTGCAATTTAATCCAATTATCAAATATCTACTGCACTAGAAAAGAATTACCTCGACTCATTTAACATCACCCATCACCACTAATCAAATTCATTTCTCTCTCACTAGACGGGCTCCAAATCGATCGTTATATCAATATATGCAAGAAGAAAAAGATAATGAGAGGCTTGTGATCACACTCAGAATATATGTAAGAAGAAAAGAAAAAAAAATTGTTGTTTTTTAGATAAAACTCGCTACACTCATGTGCCCTTTGATTTTTCTTTCGGATTTGCGAGCTTCGAACTCGCCACTCTAAACACTAAACCCTAAACACTTTTGATTTTCTTTCAAAAAATAAGAACATGATATCTCATTGATGCCAATTTATACACAAAGAGATAGGCGGAGGAGTGTTGGACGCATGAGCAACCAGTCAATACTAGTTTGGTATGTCATTTAAGGAGGAGGATGCTCTCCCCCTAATCTCTTTCCCCTTCCCTTGCCTTCTATTTGAACGGTCACAGTTAAGTCACGTCAAAATCTTATGTTGATTTTTTTTTATACAGACAATAAGATAAAAAAAATAATGTGTGAGAGGAAAAGAGGGAATAGGAAAGAAGATAATCCTACTCCGTTGTTTAATCATGGTCTTGGTACGTTATAAGTGGATTGGGTTCTTCTGCCTTCTGGAAGTGTGTATTTTGTGAGATCATAGCCATCTAACTAATCTAACGGTTCTCAGAAGATCACGTCAGTGAACCATTAAAATAAAAATGGGCTCAAATTAAGGCTCTCAATCTTTGTGGGCTTTACTAGGAAAAGATAATGTAGAATCCAACACTATTTGGGCTTTGAAATGTGTTGGGCCTTTGAGCATTTCTCGCGGTATGTTATCCACACACCTTATTCATCTCTGACACTTTGACGCACTTTTATTTTATTTTTTTGATGATTTATTTTCAATTTATTCAATTAGACAGTTAAAAATTAAAATAAAAATGTCAAATCTTTAATATTAAAAAGCCAGTAATTATATATATCCAAATAATGGTTTACCATATGGACGAGAATTGTCTGCCCTCCACTTACCATCCCTTTCCTATTTGAGCGGTTACGGTTAAGTCACGTTAATGTTTTATATTGATTTTTTTTATAAAGGTAATAAGATAAAAAGTAATATGAATATAAAATATTGACGTAACTTAACCGTAACCGCTCAAATAGGAAAGGACGGTAAGCGGAGGGCAGACAATCCCCATCCTTAACATCAACATGTATCACATTGCAGGGATGACTTTTGTAATCGACCAATCACAGCACTACACGTATCCGAAATGCCATGTGTTCTGTAGCCAACGGAGATCAGTGAAGGAAGCTCTTAGAGTCTCAGCGTCCCCGCAAACCTCCACACGAAGGTGCACCGTACCAACCTACACAGTCGCGCACTCAGAATGCCTCAGAGCGCCGATGACCAATCTCCCGAACCGGCCGAATTCTCCGGCTCCGACATCGAGGAACAAAAAGAAGAAGAAGAAGACCCCGAATTGTTAGAAGAAGAAGTAGAAGAAGAGGAAGAAGAGGAGGCGGAGGCGGAAGAAGAAGAGGCGGAGGGGGAAGAGAATATGGACGACGAATTAGAAGGAAGGGTTGAAGTGGATATGGATATTTCAGATTCACCAATTCGATCCCATGATCATCACAACGGTTATTTACCTCTTCTATTAACCTACTTCAATTTAAATTAATTAAAATTCGTTTGATTTTTTTTTTTTTTTTTTGGGATATCGGTGTTTTTGCTTTGTTTGAATTTAAATTTTCTATGCATTTGGATTGATTATGTTAATTATGGCTTGATTGTAGCAATTCATACTTCAATGCTGTGCCTTTTTAGCTTAATTTGGAAAATTATGTGATGCAATTGGGTTATAAAGAATTGTTGTAAACTTGGAACTGGAGTTTGAGGAGTATGGGAAAAGTTTCGTTTGCGTGTTTGAGCTTATAGGTAAAGCATCTACTTGATTCGATGTCAACCCGTTATTCGGTCCAGTCTTTACCCCCTTATCTAGAAAGCTGAATGTTCCGGTTTTATTGAAATTACTGCCAAAATTTAGCTTAATGATAGCTTGATTTACTTGATTGTTATTGAATACGTATCAGCATTCTATCTCTCACCAACATTTTGGTATAAAAGATGATTATATGGTTGCTAACAAGGATGCTGGAATCCTTTCAGGCCAGAGAACCTCTGTACACTTACAGAATGAGGTCGATGGTCATCCGTGTAATAGTGAGATTATGGATGCTAAAGCGACCAGCTCATGTAGAGTTGGCCGGGAAGAGATGGCTGATGCCATCCCGATTAGGGATCATTTAGGTGAGGAGGTTAGAAGTGTTGTGAACCCAGGGGATGAGATGAAACAAGTGGACATGCAGCAGAGGAATGGTAGAAAGCAAATGGATTCAAGGTGAGGTGGTATGTTGGCCCTTTATACTTTTAAATTTTTCTTATCTTAGAGCCAAAGCCTGTGCATTTTTAAAACTTGAGTGTTGGATTAACGTGTGTACCTGGTGGCTAATTATTTGCCTTTTGAACCAAACTTATACCCATCCCACTAACTGTCAGGTTTTTCAGGTCAGGTGCTCTTGAGACAGGGACCACAACTGTGTCTCCTGCTGCTGAGACTAGTGGTCGAAGCAAGCGCCCAGCTATTATATGTGACTTTTATGCGAAGGGTTGGTGCATTAGAGGTAGTTCTTGTAAGTTCCTCCATGTGAAAGATAATCTGAATAGTTCTCAACCACATCCTGAGGGAGATGTTGCTAATTCTACAAGAGAAGTCCAGCTTGATGAAGGTATGTTGTATTATCTTCTTGGGTATGGATGTCAAAAAGTACTCTCCTATGACATTCTTATTAACACCCTTCTACCGTAACAGGTCTAAGAGACATTACTGAGAGATCAAGGTCACCTGGTTTTCGTGACCCTCTGGCTTTTTCAAGTGGAAGTGATTTTGCATTTTCTTCACATCTCAGTTCTGAAAAGATCCGATTTTTGGAACACATAGGAAGACAGCACCAGTTTCATGAAAAGCGCAAGTTTCCAACAGTTATTGGAGAGGAGTCAAATGTGGGGTTGTCCACTGATGCAAAGAAATTGCATTCATCCAAAGATGATCCAGGCTTTCTCTCGTCACTTAAGGATATAGAAAGGGATGATCAGAGAAATTGGCCTGCTGTTAAAGATAAATCCATATTCATTAGCAGTTTGCATCCTGAGCCTGGATTTTTTTCAACTGGATCTATTTCATCATCAGGAAAGTACCTTATAGGGAAGAACTCTTCACATTCGAGCAGTATGGAGGAACCAGCTGGAATTTGGAGCCAGCGTATGCCCCGTGACCATAGTTCCCCACTTGTGAACCTTGCTTTGAATTCAAGCTCAAGAAATCTTTCAATTACTGCCTTGTTTCCAACTAGCCGTATTTCATCTTGGACTGGATTTTCGTTGCCTTCTAGTTATTCCAATCTCGATTCAAGTCCTCATGATACTCTTAAGCTTTTTGATCAAAGTAGGGATTACCGTTCTTCTACTAGATCATCTCCCTTGCTGAAAAGCTCTTCCCCCTTCTCTAGTTCTGAATTGAAAAGTTTGCCGACCACCGTGTCATTGCGCTCTGCTGAAATTAAAACAAAACTTTCTTCAAATGATTGGGAGCCGTCTGTGCCATTCCGGCCATCTTTTATTCTTCCTCATGCATTTCTATCATCTTCGGGGTGGCAGTATGAACCTCTTCGTGACAGCATTGAGTTACCAAAGTTAGCAAACATCTCTGGTGAAGCTTCTTTCTATCCTGAAGGGGCAACCGGTGGGAATAAATTGCATCTGCAACATGGTGAATCTGCTAGTGGGACCATGCGGCCAGCTTGTGATGGTGATACAAACTCTATGTCTTCACATAATACGTATCATGAGAAGGTATTAGATAATAGCTGCTATACACGTGACCATAATTCCCCTGTAACTGAAGCAGAGACAGCGGGGACTTCTGCTGTCTGCCAAAATGGAACCATGACTGGAGAAGAAAATCCCTTGGGCCCTCCTCATCCCAAAGGTAGTACAAAACAAAATAAAGCCAGTAGTGCCACTGGTGATTCTAGACATCAAAGTGATGGTTCTAGACACCAAGAAGGCACAAAATTAGGTAGATTTAGAGAAAAAAATGAAGTGGATGGTGAACATTTGACAGACCGAGATGTACAGCAAGAATCAAAAGCTGTGAAGAATTTCCGTGCGGCTCTTGTAGATTTAGTGAAAGAATTGTTAAAACCAAAATGGCGCGAAGGTAGTCTCAGCAAGGATGCACATAACATGATAGTTAAGAGAGCAGTAGAGAAGATTATCAGTGCTTTTCAGCCCCATCAAATCCCATCTACCATAGAAACAGTTGAGCAATACCTGTCTGCATGCCGTCCAAAAATCTCAAAGCTTGTTGAGGTTAGCCCTTTTTTTCCTTTAATTTTTTGATGATAATGTGATGAAGCAGATATTGGGTTTTGAGTGTAATCTGACAGCCACTTGTTTCATTGCAGGGATATGTTGAAAAATATGGAAAATCTTGAGATGTTAGGCCAAGTGATTTTTCTCTTGCAAAATTTCCTACGCAGTTTACTAATTGGAGGTCATGGACAGTTGGTTTAGTATCCCCTGTTTTATATAATCAGAATTGAGCTTTTGTAGAAAGTTGTTAATTTTCTTATAAGATTTATTGTTTCATAAGTTAGTTCTGTTACTGACATTTCATATATTTTGACATAAACGGTGTCATGACTGGAACTTATCTTAGTCTGTGTATAGAAAAACGGTTGTAATTCATTTCATTTTTATGCAAGGAAGATTGCCTTAGGCTTGAATTAACTCAGCTTGAGGGTCTTTGCAAATTTTATCAAAGTGTCTGAATACTGGTTCTTATTCTTTCTAAGGTCAGTCTTCAATTCTTTTGCTGCTTCAATTCAGAGGCGCTGTGGAGTGACATGGTAAAATGAGACCTTTTGGTTTGGGAATTAATGATCACCCATATGTGACCCTTCTAGTTGACCTTACAGTTTGTACATTAGTCTTCCACAAGTTACACTGGATATGTAATTGATCAAAATTTTGGTATCTTGATTCAGTATATTTGCATAAACTCTTTTACTGCCTACAAAGAACTTGGAAGAGTGGCAGTTTTACTTTAGGATAGTAAAATGTATGGTTCTGATATTATAGATGCTTGAAGATGTTTGTTTTAAATTTATGAAATTCAAGTTGATGTATAATATGTGTAATTTGAAGTTTTACTCTCTCCATCCTCATTTTTGGTTATAATGATCTGTAATTGTGGTGTTCAGATTCTTCTGGACAATGTTTCATTATTTGAAGATATTTGTGGATTGAGGTAAACTCTCATTTTTTTTGACATGCCGTTAATTCATACTTTGCTAATTTACTTTCATTGTTTATGTAAAATGTTTTTGGGAGTTCTATTCTCAAGTATTAATATCTGTATTTCGCACCCGATACCCACTGCCTAAAAGGCCGGACCCTTTGAGCCAAGGCAGTTGTTTTTCTTTACTAAGGTGTACATAATAATAGGAGAATAAGATCGATGTCCTAGTACCTTGTTACCTGTATTTGTCCTTAACAGATCAGTTTATCATCATGGAGTCCTAAAACCCCGATTTTCTTTGGGAAAATAGATTACATATGCGATTGTTGTTGAGGTCTGATAGCTGCAAGTCTGCAACTAAATCAGGTTCAGTGTCCAGAAAGTGTAAAATCAATCATGCTGTAATGTCTTTTCCATTTTCCCATCTCTGGAATAAGGTAGATTCGACCAGATGTATGATTTCTCAACCCGAGTCCGTATTTTCTTAGCATCAAGGGCCTAACCTGTTTCAACCACTAGCTTAGTCCTGGTATGATCAAGACTTAGGATTAAGTAAAAGAAGAGGGAAATGATACTGAGATGCCATGACTCCTGTAGGATGTTAGATAATTTCCCGTGTAGGTTGAATTATACTTTTTGTAGTTCTCTTTACAATGCATTGTGTCATTATGATGAAGCGTGAACTAGATTATAAAGAAGTCGGGGCTGTTTATCGGTTTATGGCATTGACTGCTGCAAAACAGATTTATATTAGTGACTTTAAGTGACCTGAGACTATTGAGAATCTGTCATCGAGTCGTTTAGTGATCAGAGCTTGAGAAAAGATATTCATGTCTGAATTTTATTGATTGTTGCTAACTGAAACAGACTCAAGTTATATTGAAGCCTCACTTCGAAGTCTTAAGTTTCTTCTCTACTAATTTATGGACTTTTGACTAGCTGAAATAGAAAGAATTGAAAGGAAAAGGAGCTTCATATCATTGTGACTTTCCCGACACTCTATGTGCTCCCTCGATTGGCTTAGCAACTTTGCATTCATTGCAAGGGAAGACAAATGACTTGAACATTTTCTTGCCGAAAGATGATCTGGTTGCAGGCTTCTCCTTTTGCTCTTGGTTTCTGGATTCTGGATGTGGCTTAGCATATACTTCTGTGACACCGGTGGTATCAGTTGATCTCATATTTCTGGTACGTGTTGCTCGTACTGGACCTTTGATGCTGAGCTGGTCTGTATCCAGACGCTGTGTTGATTCAAGCGCGGTTGCTTTAGGTATGATCTGACCATTCGAGATCAACAGGTCTGCCGGGTAATGCTTGATTGGGTCGGTCACTATGGACTCTGAGTAACTAAACTCAAACTCTCTGCCTTGGTTGTGAATTTGATTGGGTTTGTTAGCAGGAAGGCACTGGGATTGCTGATCCTGAACACACAGGAGGTCAGCGAACGAGAAGGAATCGAGCGAACTGCTATCGGCTGCAACATCCACCGCAATCTTGTTTTGCAGGTGGGCAGCCATTGTTTCGATGATGCTTCATGGTTTCAAGCTTCCAGGTTCTATATATACAGTTCTGGTTAAAGGGAACAGGTGTGGATTTAACTATTTCTTTTTTGTCGTTCAGGTTCAACTTCACATAAATGTCAAAGTAATATATATTTGGCTTATTTTTAGCTACACCTCCTAGAACTTGATTTCAATCTCACTTTAGTCCCTGTAACTCAAAACTCGCCTTTACTCCCTGAAACACATAGTTCGCTCCACTTTGCCCCTTGAAACTTAATTTTGATCCTATTTTACCTCCTGAAACTTATAAATTCGTCTTTATAAAAACTCAAAATTCGATTTTGATTTGGGTAAGCTAATCAAATTTTTTTTTTTTTCATCTCTTCAATTTCTTTTAAACTTTTGTTGTTTGATTGTTGAATGTTAACACGTAATGAAGATTTATAATCAATTTATTACACTTGTGGTATAGTCCAATTGGCTGTTGGGTTCCACCTATGTTTCAGGATGCGATCTACAAGTTTCAGGGAGACGAGAGTCCACTAGTTAAATAGAACTAGTTTTGAGTTTGAGGGAATAAAGGGATGGTTTTTGAGTTACAGAGAGAAAAGTAAGATCAAAATGAAGTTCCAAAAATATAGTTAAAAAACAAATCTATATATTTGTGATGAGTTTGATATTTGATTACGACAAAGGCTCGTTGAGGTTCAGCATGCCAATCAACTTGTAGGCTTGTAGGGTATGGGCGTGGATGAAACCAAAGAATTAGCCGGTGTCAAAAGGTAAAGAAATAAAAAGGTGGTATTGAATTTGGGGAAATTATAATTTTATATGATGTGGTTGTGGGGGTGGCCGGATGCCGACTGTAAAACCTTAAAGAAAAAGATTCCAGACAATCGAAAAAAAAGAAAGAGGGTTCCAGATTCCATGGAAGTTCTGTCTGGTGTTTATGATCTCAACATGTTTTTTAATGCTTGGTTACAAAACATTGCTTTACGAAGCTGATGTTACCGAGGATGGCAATGTTAATTAAATTAAATCGCCTAATTAAGAACTAGCTTAATGGTTTTGTTGGCGGAGTGGTCTTTGTCTAAAATAGGGATCTCAACTCTCTCCAATAGGAGAAAATTTTCAGTGCGTCCGGCAGTACATTACATGAGGAACACTTGAGAAAAAAAAAAAAAAAAAAAAAAAAAAACCTGTCATTCACTTGTATAATAACATGTGACGTACGAGCCCTCGTGCTGGCATATTTAAGATTCTCTCCTCCAATAGATGTGCAAGTTTTAGTTTCTCTTAAAAACTTTCTCGTAGCTGAGATTTTAGATTTGAATTTTGTAAATGATAAGTGCCGTACTAATTTATTCTATTATCACTTAATGTGAATATAACATTGTATATATAAAAATAAAATAAAAAGGAAAACTAATGAAAATGGTTTGAAAACTTTGAATTTTAACGAAAATGACAAAATAAAGGGTAAAGTGAATAGTACCAGGATTGATCTTTTAGTTTAAAAATGTGGTTTTTCGTTAAAGTGACAGTACCAAGAGCTTTTCGTTAAGATTCTCTAAAAAAAAAAAAACCTTGCCCTAACTTAATAATCAAAATTCAAGTATTCATTAATTTTCGTGTGAATGAATGATCTTGAAAGTGCAAAATTGGATTGATTGTTGGGCCTTGAAACCGAGTCTATTAGTTGGATTTGAGAGGTGGATTTGGAAGGTGGGTTTTGGGCCTGGGCCTTAGGTCTGCCAAATTTTGTCATGCAGAAGGGATGACCTAATTGTTTTCATGACAATAAAAGCAAGGGTATATATGCACTTGGCATTCCTTAGGTACAATGCTATCCGAGCAACGACTGACTAATTGTTTGTACTAAGATTTTGCTAATTTGTCTCTAAATTTTAAATTTAAAACTCAATTAAAAAGCTCATTGAAGCAGCTCTCGCATTTATTGATGATAACAATGCTAAAATGAGATTAACTTTGTAATTTCATCGGACGGTAATAAAAATAAGACATAAAAATAGAATGTATGAATATCGCTAATTAACAGATAACTTTAGGGGGCGTTTGTTGCGCCGGACTATCTCGGACTGGATTAGCTTCAAGAACTAAGCTGGACTGGCTTAGACTAGACTAAACTGGACTAACTTAGTGAAGCGTTTGGTGCAGTATTGGACTAAGAAGCTGGATAATAACAAATTCTAATATTATATTATTTAATATATAAATTATTAATATTTTATTATGATCTTATCTTTTTCTTCATCTTTTCCTACCATTTCCGTCCCACTCTTTTCCTCTTCTCTCATCGTCCCACCCTCTCCCTCTTTTTTTCCTCTTAGACCTCTCAATTCATGTCTCTTTCTCATTCCTGGTCAAACTCCTTATTGATTCCAGTCTCTGTTTCTCTGTCCTCCCTCCCTCTCTAGCTATGCGTTGTTCGAATGGAACCTCACGGCTCCAATTTTCCCGACGAGTTGCAGGTTTCCCGATATGTTTTCCGGACAACCCTTGTTAAATTGGATGAAGTTAGCACCGTCAAAAAATTCATCACCATCCCTAGACCGAGATCTTAGCTTTGAATGCTCAAATTTGTCATGGATTTGAAGAAGCCCAAACAGGCCGAGACTTCCAGGCCATTTTCCGGCCACATTCGACCACATTTTGGCCTTGATTGAGGTAAAATCGTAATCTTGTCACTCCCAGCTTCAATTTGGTATATTTTATATGAAAGTTGGTTGTGAAATGGATCTGAAAGAGAGTCGAAAAGTTAATGATTGATCTAGGTGACCGGAGATGACGAGGAGATTGTCGGGAGTGGTCGTTGAGCATGACGAGGATGAGAAAGAGAGGATAGTCTTAGCTAGTCTCATGGTTATTGGGGGGTCTCGCTAAGACCTCTTAGTGAAGGGTTTTGTCCATGCTAGTCCCCTTTAGTCTCATTAATGTTAGTCCCAGCATGGAACAAACACAGTATTGGACTAATAGCTAGTCCAGTTCAGTCCAGTCCAGTCCAACCTAGTGAGGGCAAACAAACGCCCCCTTAGTCTACTTGACAATAAAATTCCCGACTCGATCAGAAAGAGGTTCCAACGTGTCAATCTGAGCCCTGTCTCTCCCATCACTGTGTGGGCCCCACATTGCTCTGAGGAATAGGACATTTATTTGTAAAGTGAGCGTACACTTGTCAAGCTTAACTCACATTTAGATATGTGATGGATATTTTTTGGCGGGACCCACATTTACCAAGTCTTCATTCTTATCCATTTCCTTCGGAGTCCGGATCATCGCTGTCGGAATTTATAAATTCGTAAATTGTGTTTGTTTATTTTATATTGTATGATTAGCAATCATTATAAATATTTTAATTTTAAAATAAAAATAAACAATACTTGACAAAATTGATCGCACGATATAAAATGAACAGACACAATTCATAAATCCACAAAATCCTCACCAAAAGAATTCGAAAATGATGTTGTTGGTTTCCTTCGTCCTTTTCTCTACTCTCATTTTTCCTATAGCCATCATCCCACAATTATCGCTAGATTACATACCTATGGTGAAAGGGACTAATGACTAAATGTTAATAAAATTGTGTACGAAGTAAAATGGGTATGAAAACAAAACACTCTCCCTAATCGTTACCCTACGCACTGCCCGCAATAATCCGCGATTAAATGTTAATGCTACCAGCTGGAAGCAGCAAAACAAAATATGGCAAATTAGCACAATTTTAATGAGAGATGAGATATTTTAGCTTCAAGTTGTATTATAAATAGAACCATCTAGACCCAGAGACCATCAGATAGAAAGAGAGAGAGAGAGAGAGAGAGAGAGAAAGAAAGAGAAGAGAGAGAGAGAGCAAAAATGGTTCTTCTTGAAAAGCTTTGGGATGATATTGTCGCCGGACCTCAGCCTGAACGCGGCCTCGGCAGGCTGAGGAAGGTGTCTCCTAAGCCCTTGAACGCAAAAGGTACTCGGATGTAATTCTCTGAGCACGACGTTCGTTCTTTCTTATCCGATCGCACATGTGTCTATGTGACACGAAGTTTACCGCTTCTTAATATGTTACTTGCTATGTATATAGATGTTTTCGTTTTGGGTTTTAAAAATTATTAATTTGGTGATGTGTAGAAGGGGAAGGAGAGTCGAGCAAGTTGGCGATGCCGATGAGCCCGGCAACACCAGGAACCCCAGGCACACCAGTATCTGCTCGCGCTAAAGATAACGTTTGGAGGAGTGTCTTCCACCCAGGTAGCAACCTTGCCTCCAAATCCATGGGCAACCAGGTTTTCGACAAGCCACAGCCCAACTCTCCCACTGTCTACGACTGGTATGTATACGTAGCCTAACCCTAACAACGTACGCATGGAACTGGTTACAAACTTTTGATCGCAGTAAGAACCAGAAGACACAATAAGGATACTGTTGTATGTACCGTGGTTATATAAGTACTGTCTGTCTATTTTATAAGAAAACTTAAAATGTTTGAAAATTTTAAGTTTTAATTATAATGATAAAATAAAGGGTAAAATGAATAGTATTATTTTTTAGTGTAAAAATATAATTTTTTTGTTAAAATAAACAGTATTATGGATTTTTCTTTAAGACTCCCTTATTTCATTCTATTTTTCAGAACAAATTTGTGGTTAGTTCCGTCTCTGTGGATTTCTAATATTAACATCAGCAGATCTAAGCCGTAGATCAAGGATCTGTTTGTTGGGTTTAAATTTCTGGAAAATTAATAAAAATAGTTTGAAAATTTTGAGTTTTAAGAATCAGGATAAAATAAAAGTTAAAATAAATAACACATTGATTTTTTAGTATAAAAATATGATTTTTTGTCAAAATAAATAATACTAGAAGTTTTTTATTAAAATTCTTTTTAAATCTGGATGTTTTCTTGTTGCTATCATGGGTTTAATCTTTTAACGTACGATCTGATCTCACAGGCTCTACAGTGGGGAGACCAGGAGCAAGCATCATCGTTAAGGTGACAAACAAACAACTGAATGGACCAGCAGCCACCAGGGGTTGCATGTAAATAGTGTACTTTTTGATCTCAGCGTTTGCCACGTGCCCCAATGAGGGTTTTCCGATGGCAATGTGATTAGGTGTCCTTTTGAATTTTGTAACTAGGGCTTCCGATGGCAATGTGATTAGGTGTCCTTTTGTATGAACACTTGTGCGGTAATGATGACTCTCTGTCGGTCAGATCTACTGTTGGATGGTGGTGAGGAGTTGATGTCGTATTAAATAAATAAATAAATATCTTTTCTAATGTTATTAAATGTTATGATGCACTTAATTATGTGGTTTTATCTTATCTATACGGGAATAGAACAGGATTGAGAGGACTTTATACCTTTAAATACGTTAATTTCAAATTAATAATTCATTGTAAAGAAGAAAAAAACTTAGACAGTTTAGCTTTCTCACAAAATATGTTGGGTTATTAGTTGGTGGTGTCAACGAGGTGGAGATTATCGTACGTGAAATTTTTTAGTAAATCGAAAATGTAGGTTGCTATATCGGATGTTATAATACAAGTAAAGCAGCACTTCATAAAACAAAAATTATTCATTTATATTGTAACATGTAGCGTACTAACTTCAATATGAATGGATAAGGAGAGGATTGGAATTGAATCATTACATTGAGGTTGGTGAGTGGGACCCATTATAAGGGGAAATTACAATACACCCTTTGATAAGGATTTTTTTTTTTCTTTTTCTCAACGTATCAAGTACATAATTCAATACATGAAGTATCATAATGTAATTGATTGAAATTTTTATTTTCAAGTTTTCAGCCAGGTCGCATTCTCGACCCATCTTGTCAGAAACCTACCGTAACATCTCTCGTCAATAATGCACTACCTTTACTTTTTAACTTCCCCACACATTGTATTATTGGTGGCAGTCCCGCAATGCATGTAAATCTAGAGAGAGAGAGAGAGTGAGTGTAGTGTGTACTTTCAACTTTGGTATACTGCCTGATTCAAAAGACTACTTTGAAGATTCGAAGGAAATCCATAAAGTCCATAATATAAGAGTTGAGTTGGTAACAAGCTCGGAACATGACATGGCGATTTTCATCTGCATCTAAATTGCTCACACCATTTGTGTACTTGGCGAGCTTCTAAAACAGACACTGTCTTCATTTCAACAACATATGCCAGCTTAGTGACAACTATAAATAAACATTAGAGGGGTAGAAGAAGGAGGTAGGTAGAACCATTTGTTTACAGATTTTTCGCAATCTTCGGCTTCAGTTCCATTTCTTCTGATATGCCAAAATCTGCAAAAATCACACACAAATTAGCACAATACTATAAGAAGTGTAGGAATTGTTTAGAACCCTAAACTTTTCTTCTTGACGAGCACGCCTTTGTCACGCACAAGTTTCCGCTAGCTCTATAGACTATCAATGGTGGGAACTTTGAAGGAAGTGCTCACCAGGTAGCCCGGAATGAGATTGTGAGTTCTAAGTTCTGCCAAAGTTTCTTCCTCCTTTAAAAGTTGCAGGTTTTCTTTGCTTGAATCTAGAACAAGAGACTTGGAAATTTTAATATTGGTGGCAGTTGAATGACCGAATTCGGCATGCAGCTCTTTCACCAAGTATATTTCAATTTCTTCGGCTTGAGAAGCGGTTCGGAGAGCTACGTACTGTATACAAATAAATCTAGTTTCAGTATAGTGATGGAAGCCTTCAGATGGTGAAGTGCTACCAAATGAAAGATGCAGTGAGTGGAAGAATTACCTGACATAAATGTCCAACTGAAAGGGTAGACCGGCAGCAAAGATATGGCCGCTGCAAACTTGGTATTCTTTGCTCATCGAAAGAAACAAGCAGGAGGTGGATGTCCAACTGAAAAAAAAATGAGAAACGCTTGATCCAATCATCACAGTACAGAAGCAGATTGCCAGATAAATTTTCTAAATACACATATATATGTAGTGTGTGTGCAGGTATGATCTCGAAAGGGTACTACTCAGTCCCCTATCAGAGAAGAATCATGACGAGATTGTCGGCCTAAACTCTAAATTACCTCGTCATCATTATCTCCCGAGTTCCGAAGATACTCTACCAACCTAGAGAGGCGGATGTTCCTGGCATTTTTACCATTGCCACCACTTGAACTGCCATACCGTGTATGACTCCGCATGCCACCTTTTCCCCAGGAAAGCCTCTCTGAGCTGCCAACACGCCCCACAGAAGCACCCAGAATCTCTGATCTGTTCATTTCATAATCATTTTCATCATCACTATCTGCATTAGCAGCTGCCAACGAGGGCTGATAATATCGACCTCCTCTCCATCTTTTGGATCTCTTTGGTCTTGGTTCTGCATGCTCATCACCAGAAGACAAATCTCTACCGCCATCATTACCATTTACATCCTCATTGTCATCGGACCCATGATGTTCAGCAACATTTCTATAGTTCCTTCTCCCCCTCGCATTTCGATAGCTACCCCGTGATCTCCTCATAAATGCAGCTGCAGTGGCTTTAGCTGTTGTTCGTTTCCTTCCTAGTGCCTCGGTTTGTCGTTGAAATGTCTGGGCAATGGAAGCTTGGATCTGTGCAAATAAGCTCAAAAATCAAACACCCGAAGCAACAAACTAGGAACAAAAAGAAATCTCTGTACAGTTTTGCCACTAACTTCCTGGTGACACGTAACACCTAAATGATGAAAACACGATGATTCTAGTGTAATACCTTTTTAAAACCACATCAAGGGATATGTGGAAATTGCATTATTTTCGGTAATAGGACACAGATAAGACCCACATACAAGTAGATAATCAAGTCTTAACCAAAGTTCCAATGAATTACAGGGTTTTACAAAATCAGAGAACTCATCAATTGCACGAGAAAACTAGAATAATTCGCAGTTCGTTATTTTTCTGTATTTGGGGTTGACTTCCATTTAAAATATATACATATTAACCCCAACAGAAACTTGAAAACTGAAATGGTCACCTGCTTATTGCGAGCCTTCTCTTCTTCATGAAAGGCCAATTCCTACAGGAGATGATCAACTATCAGCGCTCTCATTTAAAATGTTACTTACAAAAAATAAAATTCACAGTATGAGATGATCAGCATCATAATACCTCTTCCTCATACTTGTCAATATCTGGATATATAGCTGCAATTAAGGCGTCATAGTTTGGGTCATCTCTCAAAGAGCGACGACTAGCACAATGGGTGCGGCATGCAGGGCATTCATTGTTCCTGCAGCGAAACCAGTTACCAGTCTAAATATTAGATTGAGAAATCAGGCCACGAGTTCAAACTATCTAGTACTTTGTGACATCATCAAACAAAATATGTATAAAAAGTTTAAAGCATACCCCAGGCGCATGGACTTGTCAATGCATTCCCTGCAGAAGCGATGCAGGCATTCCATCACTGTCCTTGTTTTCCGAATGATCCCTATGGATACCAAAGAGCACAAGAGCTGATGCTTATATCATGCAAATGAAAAGGAAAGTATGCGGCTATGGTTCTGGTTATAAGTTAAACGCTTAAAAGGACTAGCCCGCACCCACAACTTTGGTGAGGTCTCATACAATGTACGAGTGTAAAAGGGACCAATGAATACTTCGCTTTATATAGTCTGATTCATTGTCTCAGTTTTTAGAAAAATTCTAATATGAATGAAGAACCCTTGGATGTGAAAACTCTCAATATTTGTACATTAATTTCAGCCTGCACAATTGACATAGATCAAGACCATCTGAATGGTTTCAGCACATCAATAAGGCTGCTTTTAGGTAGCTGATGTTTCGGCCATGACAAAGTGGTACATACAATATATGGTTTCTGACAAGTTAATAAAACCAATATTTCTGACTTGTATACCAGAAAAGTTTAAGACAGTGGCATTTCAAGATAATCTAATATCAATGTTGCAACATAACAGCATGCAAACCCACTATGATGTTCTAGAACTGAACTATCAACCTCCCCTTGATAATAGATAATGAGCTTTACTCTAAGCTGGTACCCAACAATAATCTCTTAAAAAAATAGAACCAGAAGAGATCAAAATGCTTGACTTGCCATATTGATTCAGTTATAATCCAAAATTTAGTATCCCAAAGACATACCTAAACAGATAGGGCACTGGACTTCTTTCCGAATTTCTGCCAATTTCACCATGACAAATCTGTATACATTACCAACAAAAAGAAAATATTAGCACAGAGCAGATGTAACGTATAATATGTAGGTTGCCCTATGTGCAAGTTTTATTTTTTGCACGCTTTGCTTGGTTTTGCGCCAAGTCTTCCGTTCCTCAATTTCTCGGAGGGAAATACAGAGGCTGGCACAAAAGAGAAAAAAAATATGAAAGTACAGAGCTTCTGCAGAAAGATCAGATAAAATAAATCACTGATCTTTTCAAAATGTTGATTTCATCCTCGAGCATAAATCCCTCGTTACATGAAACTTTTCATATCATTTTACGAGCCTGGACAACACACATGCATATCGAAACTAAAACATAAACTGCTGCATGTTGTGGGGTTGCATTTTGCAAGCGTACAAATGCCCAATTCAGCATGCATATTCACGTTATTGTCACCATTGTTTACCATACCCAAAAAGGAAAATAAGAACGTTAGTTGCTTTCTTTTATAAACATGGCAACAATTATATCTAACGAGTAAAAACTAGCAAGCTTGGTGGTAAATATTCTGTAAGTACAACACTTTTCTGTGGAAGTTTAGCAGAACAATGAGAACCCAGTATAGTAAGCAGATTGTTTGTTCCTTCGGCCAAGCACCAACAAAACCAAGACACTATCGAGCAAGACTGAGAGAGTGAGAATTTCTGCTCAAAATGACCCAACAATCATCGAAACAATAGACATGAAGCGAAGCAAAAATTCGGATCAGAATCTGCAGCTAATGAGCAAACCAGATTGGGCAACATGCTTGAACCCCCCATGCACGATGGAACTTGAAGCTCGAATTCAAAAGATCCAAAAACCAACTCCACCAACCTTCTTCCCAACCCAAACACAGCAATCCATCCCAGAAAAACGGAAGAGAAAACCCACATCAACCCAAAAGTCATTGCTTTCACAGTCGCATACACACGTCAATCCACCCAGCTCAAACCCAGCAGCAGCTCAATTAATACAAACAAAAGAAAACAAAACCCAGCACGAAGAAAAGCATGCAGATCCCAAATCACACACAGCATTCAAACATCAAACACTTACACAATCAACGGAAACGACCACCATAAATAGAAGAGCGAGAAAAGCAATGAAGAAAAAAGAGAGAGGCTCACTCGTCTTTCTCTTCGGTGCTCTGTAACGGGCTTCGATCGGACTCTGAGGAGCAAAAGGGAGGAGAAAGAACAGATGAAGCAACGGCACAGAGAATCAGAGAAAGCAAAAATCCAAAAACCATGTAACGGGGAAGAAGAAACGTGCGTGTACGGTGTTTGTATGCAGTGGGTTGGACGAATCTGGAGTTGGAAGAAATAAGACGTACCCTCTTCGTCTTGCGGCGTTTCGTGGGTGTTTTCTCTGTAGTTCTGCGGAAGATCATCTTCCATGGCCTCGTGGGTGCGCTTCTGTGCCGGCATTGCTCTGGTTTGCGGCGGAAATTTAGCAAGGAACGAAACGGTTGTGTGTGAGAGTGAAATTGTGAGCTGATTGTGGTGGTCTCGGAGATAGGAGAGAGAGAAGGATGAAGGTGGCGGTGGTGGGTGGTGGTGGTGGTGGAGTGAGGCTGACCAGAGAGAGAGAGAGAGAGAGAGGCGGAGGGGTAGAGGTTCTCACAGGCTCGTTGTCTTACCGAAAATTCTTCTATTTATAAAAAAATAAAATAAAAAGGAGACAATTCAAGGTTGGGTATTCAGTCAACACGTGTACATACAGGGGTAATATGGTAAATATATATGCTTTACTTTTCTGTTTTTGTTTTTTTTTTTTGGGTTTACGTTGAGTTGCTAGTAGTTTCTGGATTTGTAGTGAAAAATAAAAATAAAAACTCGTTGTAGATTAGTTTTCTTTGATTGTTGCACTACTTAATGATCTGAAAATTCAACGGTTAAATTTTGTATATAAAGATATAATAGATTATTACAACAGTTAAATTTTACGTAAAATTTACACTATTTAATAATACAATTATTGTTATTAGACTTTCTATAAGATAGACGAATATAAATTTACTAATTGTATGTTGTAACTAAAATGCACCTGAATTTTTTTGTTACTTTAAATTTCTCTCCATTGCCATTGACTTGCAGGACGCCCTTTTTGTTCTTTATCCCCTTTACATTTTAAAAAAAAATTGTTATTGTTATTGTTTAATTTTTTTTTCTTACTAAACTATCCCTATATCAATTAAAAGTCCACTATCAATGTGTTAAATTTGGGTTCCATGGTGTCTAACATATTTGTTTTGGTTTTGAATTTTTTTGCTAAATACTTGATCGAAAATATCTAAGTTTTAAATTGGGATTCGCAAAAACTTATTACGTTAGAGTTCAGTTCATTGATTCGGACACAATGAAATCATAGCTAGAAACGTGTCAGCATAACGCGTCTACATCCATTGAAAGATGGTGAATTTATCGTTGCTAAGCATTGAAAAGTTATTGGTAGAGTTACTTATTATTGACAGAATGAACTGTGAGTTATCTGAATAAGTAAAATGTGGATTATTGGTACATGTGTTGACATCTATATATGTTTTTTTTTTCAACTGAGAGTGACAATACTCTCCTAAACAATCATTAAAAGATGCATACTATCAAACTATTTTCTTGGCATATATTAGTGTGATGGAATCTCTATTGTGTAATAATTGGAAATTTAGAAATAATTCTATAAAACTAAAGATTCTAAACTTGTATGGATGATCTAGTACTAGCAAAGGTGAGTATAAATACCAACTCCAACAATCTAGGTTACAATATTAATAGGCATAAAAGCACCCTACTAAATTTATCACATCCCAGTCTTAACTCCACCGTAGCACGATATTGTTCGTTTTGGGCCTCGGCCACGCCCTTACAGTTTTATTTCTGAGAACTCACACAAGAACTTACCAGTGGATCACCCATCCTAGGAATGCTCTCGCCTGAACTCGCTTAACTTCGGAGTTCCGATGGAACCCAAAGCCAGTGAGTTCCCAAAATGTCTCGTGCTATATCGAGGTGGGCATGTACATATAAGGCACGTCATCCCCTATCCGTTGATCGATACGGGATGTTACAAAATTGCTTCTTTAGCATTATTTATAAGGTGGTGTTGTCCACACACATTTTTTTACCTCCCACACACCCTTCTTATTTTTCGACTATCAGATCATAATGAATGAATTGAAGAAGATTAAACGATAGAAATTAATAAATTATGTGTGGAAAGTAAAAATAAGTGTGTGAATAACATTATCCAAATTCTATATTTCTTTAAAGTGTCAAATAACCAAATATAGTAAGCCTTGCATGATCTTCCAAGAAAACAAACTTCACACTATAATTTGTTAAATCTCAAAAGGTGGGGTCGTTGTGTTAGCAATCTTTCTATGTTGACATTTCCTTCAGTGAATTGTTATTAGTACTTCAAAAATCTCATTCTACACTCCTCACAAGTGTAATTTTCTTTATAATTATAGAAAGTTTAGAGTGTAATATGAGATTTTTGGAGTGCTATTAACAATTTCATTCCTTCAAGGCTTTTCCAAATTCAAATTTTTTTTTTTTTTTTAAGCAAAGCTCTTCCAAATTCTCAAGGAATGAGTAATGCTAGTATGGGCCACTCATTAAAAAGTTGATATAAATGATTGGATTCACTTAATTTGTTTTGTAGAAGGTATTTGATTTATGTTAACAACACAAACTTTCATTAATTCATTTGAGATGAATGAGTTTCTCGAAAGTGGGACTCTTCATAGATTTTCTGTTATCTCATGTTTTCGGCACAATATTTTATAATGTTGGCATAAAAATTGATGTTAACTATGAGGTGATAGAGAGAACTAAGATAGTCTAATTTTTAAGAGATTCCTCCTAGCATTCATCTTCTTAGAATAGTTTTAGTCCAAACATTTTATGTATAGCAGTCTAAATCTTAACTTTTACGTATTAAAATAATTTAGAGTATCGCTTAATTAAAATAATAAAATAAATAGCCTAATATATTCAAAATGTATTTAACAGATTAAAAATTATACGCCACCATACCAAAATATCACTTCTTTTTATACAAAGATATTATGCTATAGAGGCATGATATGGATAAGTCACATAACAAACCAACAATACTAATAGTAGCTAAGTATCGAATTCTTCATCCATGTAATTTGAATACAAAACTTTAAACTTATTTATTTGTACATTACAAGTGATATTCTATATATATATATATAAGGATTTAAATTCAAGACACAATGAATTAGATAGAAAAACTCTAATTACTAGGTCATTAACCACTCGAAAAAGATTTCTTGTAACATCCCACATCGTCCAGGGGAGTGAATCATGTAAGCCTTATATGTATATTCCCATCTCTACTTAGTACGAGGCCTTTTGGAAGCTCACTGGCTTCGGGTTCTATCGAAACTCCGAAGTTAAGCAAGTTTGGGCTAAAACAATTCCAGAATGAGCGACCTTCTAGGAAGTTGCTCGTGAGTTCCCAGAAACAAAACCGTGAGGGTGTGGTCGGAGCCTAAAGCGGATAATATCGTGCTATGGTGGAGTCAAGTCCGGGATGTGGTGGGAGTCCGGGCAGGGATGTGACAATTTGGTATTATAGCCAATCCCTGGTCGGAAGTGTGCCGACAAGGATATCGGGCCCCTAAGAGGGGTGGATTGTAACATCCCGGGCCCCTAAGAGGGGTGGATTGTAACATCCCACATCGGGTAAGGAAGTGAATCTTTTAAGTCTTATATGTATATTCTCATCTCTATCTATTACAAGGCTTTTTGGGAGCTGACTGGCTTTGGGTTCCATCGGAACTTCGAAATTAAGTGAGTTTGGGTTATAGCAATCCCATAATGGGTGACCTCCTGAGAAGTTGCTTTTGAGTTCCCAAAAACAAAACCGTAAAGGCGTAATCGGGGCTCAAAACAGAGAATATCGTGTTATGGTGAAATCGAACCCGAGATGTAATGAGAGTCCAAGTCGGAATGTGACACTTCTTACTTACAAATTGAAATAAACAATACTCGACTTCTGACTTCCCCTTTAATTTATTTATTTTTTTAAATTTTGGTTAGAAAATTAAGGACCCAACTAATTATTTTAATCTTTCAATTATTTATGTTCTCTATATGCCAGCCAGATTCCACACCGAACGAGGTTGTAATTTGGTCATCCTATATTAGATTTAATAAATCAAATTAAACATACGAAAAGTACGACAAGACAGTGTACCAAATTACCCTAAAAATAGACACTATTAGAAAATTAACTTTGAAAAAATTAATTTGATTACACAAGTATTTTTTTTTTTTTTTTTTTTTTGAGAAAGATTACACAACACAAGTATTATAAAAAGAAAAATAATGAAAAGTAAAAAAATATTTTAATCTTAATAAAAAACGACGAATAAAAATGTAATAAATAATAAAAATATGATTTTTTTGTTAAAAATAAATAATAATGTGAGTGTTTCATTGAAACCTTATTTTATAAAATGCAATTTGTTGGGCAAGTACAATTTTATTTTATATTTTATGATACATCAGAAGCCATACATATATCTAAAGTACTCGCCTCTGTTCTGAGTCCTGACTTCTGACCCTCCTCGGGCATACGTCCCTCCCTGCAAATCGGGCACTCAGACCAAGATCACCGCCGTCTCCTTCCCATGGGTTTGCCGGAAATCGTAGATTTCGCGCGCAATTTTGCCGTCATGGTCAGAGTTAAAGGCCCTGTAAGTCCCCTCTTTACAATGGTCTCTGAAAGTTCCAAACTTTCATGCTCACCGATTAAGCTACCCTTTTCCCACGCAGGATCCAAAGGGCCTCAAAATGCGAAACCACGCTTTCCACCATTACCAGTAAGTTCGTAATTTTTCCAATTTCCTTTTTTTTTTTTTTTTTTTTTTTTTTCTTTATCATTGTTTTTGTTGAATTTAATTTGGATTTTGGGCATGTGTAGCTCTGGGACGACGACCATTTCGGCGTCGGGAATGTTATTGCCGGACACCCTTTACCACTCTGGTGTTGCTAAGCAACTTTTTGGCGGCCGTGGAGACGGTGGAGGCGGTGGGGGTGGCAGCCAACGTTCTCCTGTTCTCGTGGTTACTGTTGCTTCCATTGTTGAGCCTTTTCTCTCTTTGGAGCACAGAAAGGGCCTTGCCCAGGTTGAAATTCTGATGCTAGGATTTATATAATTGCTTCAATTTGCTATCTGGGTTGATAATTTATGCGTTTTCTGATGCTTTTTTCGGTGCCTTGCAGGGCAGGCATCAGTTGATTCCTGGGGTTCAGATTGATATTATGGTAGAGGTATAGCAATATAGCAAAACCCCAACATTTTGATTTCAATTCTTTCATATTCTTGGTTAGATATAATAAGAGTTAACTATTTGAGGGTGTTTTTGTTGACAGGATGAAATGAGGTTGGAGAAAGAATCTCGGGATTCGGATAAAGCACATCCCTGCTGGTTTGCAGCACAGCTTTTAACACTGGTAGGAATTTGCTTACCCGGTTGTTTGATTGACTATCACTATACATTAGGAACCGTTTGAGTGTACAGTTGATGTAGAAAGTGCTTGTAACGATAGTCTATAGAAGCTCCATCGTAACTGTCAGAAAGATTTCATCCATTTATTTCTTTTGTGCCTAGTTGACAATCCTTGATGCAATTATAGCGTTGTTGGTTGATTTCTGGAAAAAAAAAATGTAATATCATTTTGTGAGCATATTCATGATCGATATGCGGTCATCTTTAAAGGGGAAATGAAACTATTATTCGTATTAGAAAAATAAAATTAACCATACTCATGTTCTTAAAAATACATGCAAATAGCTAATTATTATATGAAAGGAGACACGACTGAAATCAAAAAGTCAACTTTATAGCTAGGGTTCATTATATGTCTTTTGTTTCTCATATTTTCATAAATCCTACACCGCACATGGCTTCTGATGTTGATCAAACTAATGCACCTTGTAGATTGACGTTCCTGCATCTGCTGCTGCAATCCAATCACTTATTGAAGCTTCTTTAAGCTCCCCCGATCATGGATGGGAGGTCGGTTGGTCTTTAGCCTCACATAGTAATGCTCCTCAGGCCCAGGTATGAGGTCTTTCTGTTTTGGGAATTGATGCAAATATTATCATCATGTGCAGATCTCTTGTAGAGAGAATTGTGTCATGTGACGTGGAAAGCAATTAATTGAGAAATCCATAACAAAGGTCACTGATGAACTGAGCAACTCTTCCTTTTCTGGTTGGTTGGGAGAAAGCTGCAGAAGCTAACAAGATAAAGATATCTTTTAATGTTTTCATGTAATGTAAAAGAATATTTTTTTTAATTAATCACGACCGTGACAATACATGCACTGTCATGGATGACCAGGTGGACTTTGGAGTCAGAGAATTGGGGAATTTAACTCTCACAGGCAAGTCAAATACAAGAATCGCCATTCTTGGAGTATCCCTAATTGCCAAGGTAAATTTATGCTCTTATCTTTCCTTTTAGCTATAGTTTTGGTGATAAATATCATGAGATACTGAACATGAGTCTCTAGCATGTTTTGTTTTCAGACAGTGATAATACATTGTTTTTGGTCAGGACATGCCAAATATAACCATATCACCCTCCAATCAAAGGGGGGACTTTCTTGTGGCTGTGGGTTCTCCTTTTGGTATCTTGTCAACTGTGCACTTCTTTAACAGGTAGCTTATCTTTTCTGCATGCAAATTAGACATATGTTATGTTTCTGTTACTGTTTGATTGATATTATGCGCTCTCTCTGGTTATTGTGTGAAGTCTAATTGTTTAATCCTACTGGTTCTTGATCTAATTCTTTGGCTCATATTTCAGTATATCAGTGGGATCCATTGCCAACTGTTATCCTCCTAATTCATCTTCTAGTTCATTGCTGATGGCAGACATACGCTGTCTTCCTGGTGCGAGCATTACCTGTAATAATGTCCATTGATACTTTCATGCCATTGGTCTCTGATTACGTCTTACTTCTAAATCCATCAGGAGTGGAAGGTGGTCCAGTTTTGAGTGAGCAGGCACAACTTATTGGTATGTTGATTAGACCGTTGAGGCAGAAGACTAGTGGGGCTGAGATTCAGGTAACTTGAGAACATTTGCTTGTGTGACTGTTCTGAAATTTCTTTTAGTTAACATGTCATCCAAAACTCTAGTCTTGGGTAACAGCTGGTGATTTCATGGGAAGCCATTGCAACTGCCTGCAGTGACTTGCTGCGGAAGGAGCCCCATTATGCAGAAAAAGGGATTTCTGTTGACAAGGGAACCTCAGATGATGTAGGGAGGCCAATTTTAGCTGAGAGCCACGGTTCAAATGGAGCCATAACACATATTCAGGAATGCATTTATTCTAGTTGCTCCTCCCCGTCACCAGTTGAGAAGGCAATGGGTTCTGTTTGTCTTATAAACATTGATGATGGAGCATGGGCATCAGGTGTCTTTCTAAACAAGCAAGGTCTCATACTCACAAATGCTCACCTGTTAGAACCATGGAGATTTGGTAAAAGAACTGCAAGTGATGGAAAGCATGGATCCATTTCTGAGGCATCATCTCCTAGGCATAGTGGACTATATGGCAAGCAAAAGAGTGAAGGTTGTCCCCCAATGGTTCACAATAATGCAGATCCCTCAGTTGGCGATGAACATGGAGGATATGTATTGAGTTCTTACAGAGGTCAGAGAAGGATACGTGTACGCCTAGATCATAGAGACCCTTGGATTTGGTGTGATGCTAAAGTAGTGTATGTTTGCAAGGGACATGTGGATGTTGCCTTGTTGCAACTCAAGTACATCACTGATCAGCTTTCTCCAATTGTCATGGATTTTATGTCGCCATCTGTAGGATCAAAGGCATATGTTATTGGACATGGACTATTAGGACCGAGATGCGGTATGGACCTTGCTTATATCTTTTTTTTGATGTACTTGTTTCTGTTTCTTGAATTTGGGTGCCCCTTGGAAATGAATAGTTTGATTGTGTCTACATGTCATTTCTTTTGGCCTTCTGTACAAGGGGTGTGATATCCACACACCCTTTTTTACTTCTCACGCACCTTTTTAATTTTCGGCTGTCAGATTGGATGAATTGAAGATCAAAGGGCAGAAATTAACAAGGGGCGTGTGAGAAGTAAAAGGGGGGTGTGTGGATAACACACCCCTTTGTACAGTCTTAGTAAAGATTTACTGTACATAAGTGATTTAACAAATAGCATGACAATGTTGAACTTGAAAAAGAACTTTGTGCATAGATACAATTTATGCAGATCCTAAGCTTGAAGTTTTCTTCGTATAATCTTGTTGCATTACCGATGTGTATAGGTTTGAAAAATGGATGTTCAGTCTTAGTGCTACAGTTGGGAGGGACAGTACATATGTCTACCTCTGTTGTGCAATTTTCATTTCCCACCAATAGTTGGCTTGTTTCTTTGCTTGATTTAAGAAGTCCTCTTATGCTTCATGTTCTGAATCCTGATCAAGTTTAATCACATTAGGATTCTCCCCGTCAATTTGTTCTGGTGTTGTCGCAAAAGTTTTAAAGTCAAAATTTCCGCACTCATATCAAACAAACCAACCAGGAAGTACTCAAGGAGATCTTCCTGCAATGCTTGAAACAACAGCTGCTGTCCATCCTGGTGGTAGTGGTGGCGCTGTCATTAATTCAGAGGGTCATATGATTGGACTTGTTACAAGGTATGAAGAACTAAATTGTTGTATGGTGATTGTGTCTTTAATATTTTTTTCTTTGTGGACACCCTTGTTTTATAAGAATCACATCGAAGAAGCTGTGTAATTGGTTAACTAAATCAACATTACAGATCTGCACAAAGAGTGGTATGAAATCTGATGTTGCCTTGTTCTGAAGACGCTGAAGTTTGTAATTTAAACCACCGTGTTGCCTCTGATGCTGTTAAATCTGATCAAACACTATAATAAGGATCATTTGGCAGAAATCATATCATTCTGTGTATCTACGTTGTTATTGAAGCTGCTTTCGGTGCCATCATCATCAATTTAGATCTTAGATATGTTCATTATATATATTAGTCCCTCGCTCATTGCAGATAGATCTTCCGTATTTAATGAGCTTTATTCTTGAAACAGTAATGCAAGGCATGGTGGAGGAACAATTATACCACATCTGAACTTCAGCATTCCATGTGCTGCTCTCCTGCCAATCTTCAAGTTCTCAAAAGGTTAATTAGTCACACATATTATCAACGTTTTATTTCACACGTTCTGGTCGTTTAAATTCATTTTATGTGCTTGAATTTGTTTTATTGTTGGCGGCATACTGTATAAGATGTGTGGTGGAACTTGACTATTTTGTTTGGCTGCCGAAGGTCAGCAATTCTGAGAGATCTGACAACTGTACTTTTTCTTCCAACAGACATGCAGGATCCTTCACTTCTCCAAGTTCTTGACCAACCAAACGAATATCTTTCTTCTGTATGGGCGTTGATGCCACCTCTGTCTCCCAAGCCCCCTCCTTTGCCGCCTCATATTCCAGAGTCATTACTAAAAGATAACAACAAAGAAGCAAAAGGCTCACGTTTTGCAAGATTTGTCGCCGAAAGAAAAGATGTGTTTGAAAACCCAAACCAACTTGGCAAGGAAAGAAGACTTCCTAACAACATTGTTCCTAGCAAGTTATGACGTGCGAGTATCCTGCATTTTTCTCATACCGAACTAAAGGGCGTCATCTGTACAAAACCGAGATCAGGTTTTGGTGCCTCTCGTACTGTTTGCCGTGCTTCACTGACTTCACAGATAGGGGAATAACTTCACGGTTGGCAGAATGTTTTAGTTAGGGATTGATTTTTTTGAACTTTATAGGAAAAGCATTGTGCAATGCCAAATAATGTTCTCTGTTCCGAACAAGAGTCTTATATCGACTGTAATGTAGTATATCATATGCGCAATATGAATTTGTTGCAACTTGCAGTGAAGCCACACGATTTATCTGTATTTGTACCTTATTTTGAGTCGGATCAGACTTTGTTGTTGTATCCTATTTTGAGTTCGATACTGTCGAAATGAACACATTTGGGTCGAATATGTCACGTGCAACGGGTAAATAAGATCTTCTCTTTCACGTGCAAAACACATTTGGGGAGGGTTATCGGATTCATGCCTTTGGCTTCGGGTGTAGATGCGAATGTTTCTTGATGAATCTTCTCGTTCTAACTTCTACCTTACATCTATCCCTTTAAAGTTTTTTTAGTACAATAATATGTTTACACTAAGGGGTGAGAAAAATAAATTAAATTAACAACTTTCACAGAATATTACTAGATTGGTATTAAGTGATATGAACACAATCTGCTTTATGGGTGTATTCAATTGTTGAGGGATGTTAATGGATTTATAAATTCATACATTTTGATGGAGTTTAATTGAGTTGTAGAGATACCATATAAAATTTTGATTCAATTCTCTCGAAACCTCAAGGGAAGATGTGAGATTTGGAATGCTTAAGATACATTATGAAATCTTTTCAAATCATCAAAATTTTAAAATTCTATAAAACAAATTCCTAATTGAATACATCTACAATGTTATAAAATTCTTTAAAATCCTATTTCAATACATCTGGATTTCTAAATATTTCTTAAAATCTTAAATACACTTTGAATTTTAGATAATCATTTTAAATCTTAATGCGATACCCCTAAATTTATTAAGGGAATTAAATCCCTCAAAATAATACACCCACGTTAGTTTATTGGATTCGGTCCCACTCTCGCAGGTGAGATCTCTGTTGTTGCATGTGGTCCGTTTAATATTCTAGTGGATAGAGATGACAAAATAAATGGTAAAGTGAATAATATCATGATTGACTTTTTAGTGTAAAAATGTGATTTTTTGTTCAAGTAAACAGTACCATGAGCTTTTCGTTAAAATTTCTAAAAAAATACAATTAGGGTTAGGGTTAAGTCTTCTATACAAATCCATTATATTAGGTCATCTTCAACCGAAGGAGGGTCAAATGGGTCTCTTTAGCCCTATATGAAGGAAAAATTTTGTCCTAGCTAAGAACATGTAAGAACATTTGAATACATATGCAAACTAATAACTCTTTAAAGTAGGCATGCATTCAAAAACAATTCATAAAACCCATGACTTTCAAAGCCTAGTATATGGTGAACCATAAGACTCTTTAACAAAATTAAAGAGAATAAGAATTTAGAGATTCTTTACCCTTGAAGCTCATCCTTGATTACACAAGGGATTCACCCAAGTGGAGGGCCTTCAAGTCACCTCCTTGCTCCTTGAATCTTCCTTGTGATTTCCTCCCTTTTAGTGCTCCTTTTCTTCTTTGAGGATTTGAGGATTTGTTCTCCAAAACACCAAAAGTTTAGTGTCTCTAAGTCTCCACACCAAAGATGTTGTGTGAAGATGAAATGGATGACTTAGGTAAGAAAGATTGCTAGATGTTCCTCACCTAAGGTAATGAGAGAATAGGTTTCACCCAAATTCAATTAGAAACCCCTTAGGGTGAAATGGCTATAAAGATGTATTTATACCACCTCACAATGGAGTGGCAAACTTGCAATTAAGCCAAGTTCACTACCCTTAAGGTTATGGCCGGCCATTTAATGTTTTTGGGCTTAATTGCCCATTTTGTTTTAGTTGTCATACAATCTTAAACATAATGGGCCTTGTGGGCCAAAACGTTTTTGTGCCCCGAAGCCCAAAACTAACTTAAACGCCCAATACGAACGTTTCGTATAATTAATTAACTATTTAATTAATCTTGACCATTCTTCAATTAAACCATTTAATTGCTTATCCATTTCATATAATTTCTTCACTTATATCTTTACTCGGTGTACGATCCATTAGGTTCCAGTTAGCGAGGTAGTGGGCGATGTTACTCTTAACGATCGATTGTGAATTGAAACCACATTTCAATTCTCCCTTAAATTAGTGTTTGCTAATCTTTAGGGCTTCCACAAACCATGGGTGACGCCTAGCAGCATGTCATGGTTACCCAAGCTAAGTAGAAGTGGTTGGAGAACCTATCCAGTTACAACTACAATGCAATACGGTCCTTCTCTAATACAATACTCTTAATCACATTGTTTGAGTGATAGTTTGTTTCATGTCTACTATCCAATGTGATACTTCTTTATATGATTCAATCGAATAAGATTTGGAACATCTTCCTTAGTCATATTCATATGCTTTGGCCAAAGACTCTCGAATCATATCTTAGAGTATTCTCCTTCCATCATGGAAGGTTAGAGATCCCTTGTTGTACATTCATATGCCTACATGACTAGATAGCTTGACCCCAACAATGCCGTGGACACTCCAATGGAATGCCGTTGACATAATCAAAGATCAAGGACCTAACCATTAGACATCAATGATGCCTCAGGTCAAAGGACTACTTTGCATATTGCAACTATTGAGTTCTCACATGACATGTATGTTCGAACTCTTGTTTGATCGTAGTTCAGTGTACTCGATTACTCTTTCGAGCACCTATGTGTTTGCCTTAGTGTCCAACACCAAATGACTTGAGACTAGTTCATACTCACGCTTGAGTCGACATAACACATACTAACCTTAGCGGATTGTCAATGCCCAATTGGCAATCCTATGGCTAGGAACGTTTTAGGAATGAACATAAGAGAAAGGTCTCGTTAATTTAACTAACTTAAATCACTTGTCTCTTAGATCAAATACATTCCTTGGATTCCCTTATTGCTTAAACACAAGATACTATAAATAGTGATTAACAATAAGCTTTGCCCTTCTATTAAACATATAAAAGTTTAACACAATAAGTATTCCAAAAAGCTATTACATCAAATGAGTGGCTTTGTGGGCATACTTCCAACAATCTCCCACTTGCACTCAAAGCCATCCTCCCATGTATCTAATACCCATCTTTTCCATATGGCGGTCAAGTTGGATTTGAGACATTGGCTTCGTTAGTGGATCTGCTACGTTATCGGCCGAAGCAACTTTGAGGATGTTGACTTTCCCCTCGGCAGCATATCTTCTAATGATATTGAAGCGCCTATCAAAATGCTTGTTCTTTTGATGTGCCCTGGGTTCCTTGGCTTGAGCTATCGCCCCATTATTATCACAGTACAAAGTTACTGGTGACGTAATGGTTGGAACCACTCCAAGTTCAGTGATGAACTTCTGCATCCAGAACGCTTCTTTGCCGGCTTCAGCTGCAGCGACATATTCAGCCTCTGTCGTGGAATCAGCAATTACACTTTGTTTCTTGCTTTTCCAGCTGACAGCCCCACCATTCAGAGTGAATACATATCCGGAGTTGGAACTTCTATCATCGACGTCAGATTGGAAATCTGCGTCTGTATAACCTTCCACTCGCAACTCTGATGCTCCTCCATAAACGAGGAACATGTCCTTAGTTCTTCTTAAGTACTTAAGGACCGTCTTGACAGCTGCCCAGTGTTCTGATCCTGGGTTAGATTGATATCGACTAGTAATGCTCACAGCATATGCGATATCAGGCCTTGTGCATATCATGGCATACATGAGACTTCCTATGGCGGAAGCATAAGGAATAATATTCATTTGCCGTATCTCTTCAGGAGTTTTAGGTCCCATGGACTTAGAAAGGTGAATTCCATGTCTCACAGGAAGAAAACCTTTCTTAGATTGTTCCATCTGGAACCTATTTAGCACCTTATCAATGTACATAGATTGGGATAATCCAATTAATTTTCTGGATCTATCACGATAGAGCTTTATCCCAAGTACATAAGATGCATCTCCTAAATCTTTCATGTGGAAGGTTTTGGACAACCACACTTTTACAGAAGAAAGTACTGCAGTGTCATTCCCGAATAGTAATATGTCATCTACATATAACACTAGGAATACAACTGCTTCCCCAACGACTTTTTGATAAACACAATTGTCGTCTTCGTTTTGAGTAAAACCAAACGATTTGATTTCAGTATCAAAACGAATGTTCCAGCTCCTGGAGGCTTGCTTAAGTCCATAAATGGACCTCTGAAGCTTGCATACCTTAGTCTTTTCAGACTTGGACACGAAACCTTCGGGTTGAGCCATATAAAGCTCTTCCTCTAGGTAGCCGTTCAGAAAGGCTGTCTTCACGTCCATTTGCCAGATTTCATAATCATGGTACGCAGCTATAGCAAGCAAAATCCGAATGGACTTAATCATGGCTACAGGAGAGAAAGTTTCTTCATAGTCAATCCCTTCTCGTTGCCTGTAACCCTTGGCTACTAGTCTAGCCTTATAAGTCTCCACGTTCCCATCAACGCCTATCTTCCTCTTGAATACCCATTTATTTCCAACAGGTACTATACCTTCTGGAGGGTCTACAAGAGTCCAGACTTGATTTTGATACATGGAATCCATCTCGGATTTCATGGCCTCATGCCATCTCTTTGAATCAATGTCGAACATTGCTTCATTGTAGTCTCTAGGCTCCTCCTTTGTGTCATTGTCACCTAGAAGGTGCAATTCCGCAAAGTCATTGTCTAAGCCATACCTTCTAGGTTGCTTACTAACCCGTTCAGATCTACGTGGAGCTAGGGGTTCAGGAACAGGGTTGTCAACTTGTCGAGTGCTTGTTTGTGGTTCATCATTAATCTCATTAATTTCCTTCAATTCTATCTTGCTAGTTCCTTTAAGAACTAATTCATCCTCCATGAATATAGCAGTTCTGGCGACAAAGACTTTCTGGTCGTCAGGGTGATAGAATTCGTATCCATAGGTTTGTTTAGGATACCCCACAAAATAGCATTTAACGGATCTCGCTTCAAGCTTTCCAGCATCTTGTTTCTTAACGTATGCTGGACAACCCCAAATCTTAAGATGTTTAAGACTTGGCTTCTTTCCATACCATATCTCATATGGTGTATGTGGAACAGATTTAGAAGGCACTGCATTTAGCAAATAAGCTGCTGTGTGTAGTGCATATCCCCAGAATGATATTGGTAGATCAGCGGAACTCATCATAGAACGAACCATGTTCATCAAGGTTCGGTTT